AACGCTCTCACGCAGGATCTGGTCACGCATGGATTCATATGCGAGGTCCGTTCTTCTTGAATTCCGTCCTACAAGAGTTAAGTATGGGTGACAACATTTCTACAGACCTTTTAGAAATAATTTTCATCCCCTTGAATTTCTCCTATTCTACTTCGGTAGTGATATCGTTGAGATAGACTGCTTTAACGGCTTTTCTGTATGGTTTTTTGTCCTTTCCCAGCGTTGTATTTATAGTGGTCGCGACTTTTTTCGGAAATAGCATCCCGAAGTGGGTTGAGAGAATTTAGGGCTAATGTTGACAAACCTCGTTGTTGGGGTGCCCGTCTTGGAAAAAGTTGTAGGGAGGAAGATCGCGTAAGGACATTGTGACTGTTTGATATCGTGTTGTAAGAAAGTGAGCCCACTTAGCGACACCTCTCAAAGATTTCCAGAAAACGAAGAGCAGCGTTTGCTTTATCCGCTCTCCTTTGTCAAAGCTAGAAAAGCTGGGGGTCATGCTGAGGGGTCAGAGAAGTTTGCAATATTTCTTAATACTACTAGTATGTAACAGAAGTAACGGTAAAACCTTGATTGTTGAAACTAAGATTTCCCCTCTAATCGGGCATCGCCCACTCAAATGGTGACCAGGTCCGCCCGAATTTTATGTACATACCCGCTGCCTGCTCGTCAATGCTCTTTCAACAACCTCATGTCATAAAACATCACTTTTGAAAGGATTAATTGATTTAGGAGATTATCAAAAATGTTGGGAGATCGTAGTCCACGGTCTGATTACTGGCAGTCTCGTGAACTCTACTTTTACTGTGGTATTTCTTCTTCCCTAAGCTAATTGCGATTATTAATACGGTAGTAAAAATACATTTAGTAAAACATCAAATACCTTCTCATGTGTTGCATTGCATTATGTTAGGTTTTTTTTGATTTAATGATTTCCCTTTTCAAAATTTCTTTTTCCAGTCGGATGCCGAGCGACTAGGCGCTGTACTGACGGCTGCACTGAAGGCATCGGCAGATTTGGCACAGTCGACTGGTGATGACATAACCACTGGTTCGTCGATGTACGCACTCACGGAGGAAGCAGCTCGTCGTTTGGATCCTCAACCACCGGCACCGGCACCGGCACCGCCTGCCAGAGCTGCTGGCGGTGGTGGAGGAGCTGGTGGAGCGCCAATGTGTCGTGTTGATCCGTTGAATAGGACGGAAGCGGCCTTGTCTAAGTTAGCGTTTGCGGAGGCTCCGATGATGCCTCGGTCCTCGTGAGCTGTCCACCCTCCGGTGTGGAGCACGAGCGACCCTCCTGTCCCGCCCCTGCTCTCACTCACCCAAACGCACACAAACACACGCACACTTGCTGCAATGGCGTGGTTACGCTTAGCCGCCTTACTAGCGCTTGCCTCTACTGTGGACGCTCAACATGGCACGGTAGGTCGTCCATGTGAGGTATCCACTGACTGCGGAACTGGTAACTATTGTGCTGGCAACAAGCGATGCGCCTGCCTCACCACATACGTTGAGATTGACTCATACTGTTGGCGAAGTAAGTGTGTTTCTTGAGTTACCATTATCAGACCATTGTGGGTTGCATCTTTTTAGCAGGTTTTAAATTAGTTACTGAATTATCTCCTTGTTCTACGATATATTTACCACTAGTTCGAGTAAGGATGGTGTATTTTCTTCTCACGGCGTACACATGATGATATTTCAATGTCGTTATTATAATTGTTCAGTCAATTGTTTTGATGTATTGTCGTTGAATTCGCCGCCGCTGCAGCCGCCATCGCCGCAATTTGCTGTCGCATGTTCCTTTAGGCTTGGCAGAATTATATCAGCCGTATTTTCTCTCATATTATGTTTAGTTATCGTTGCTAGTTATTATTTTGAGAACAGTCCTACTACCCGGTCCCGGCTTTCACGGACTCATTGTCGTACTGGCTTCAGCTATGTTCGTCGTGTCCGTATGCTATGGTGCGCAAATGTAACTTGAGCTAGAAGCGCAGTGTATGTTCTGTCCGCCTTTCCACTTTCACACAACGCCTAATGTCCCATATGCGAGTTTGGGGATGGTATTCAGGAGATTGGTCCATTGCAAAAAGGCAGCCAACCAATAGGAGCCATGGCAGCATTGCCCGCGAGCGATCGGCCAAGCCTTTTCCCCTCTCTTCTCTTTTCAAAATTTCTCCCAGCATGGGCAAATCTCCCAGGCTACCCCCAAATCCGCATATGCGTCCATGCGATGGTTGCCAGTTTGTTATACGATGTCGGTCTGGTAAGAAATACCCTAGCACTCTCCACCCCTTCCCCTGACGGTTTGATGTAGCGCGACAATATTCCATCCCGAAATTTTCGACCACCATCGATATTCCCACGAATTTCCCACTTTTGCGGTTCTTTTCGGATTTGCGTTGTATTCCAAATTTTGCATGTTCTAATAATTATCTTTTTTCTCCTATTCCTGCTCCTCCTCTGTCAATAATATGATGTCGCCAAGGTGGTGGATGACTGAGATCATCGTACAATTGTGAGATTCCATTGATAATTCTCTTCCAAAGCCCCTTCCAGTCTTCCCGCTCCCGATTAGAGATATCTATTGTTTTGTTACGACGGTTGGATGGACGACGTACATAAACCACGCATGCGTAGTTTTCCTTTTTTCCTTTACCCATTCTGTCTTTCTTTGTCCATCCATCCACCAAAGACCACCGTGCTACATATAAATTGTTAACAAATACGATTGGTGTATCAAAAGTTGTGCATCCTGATTAAATGAACATGATGTTGCTGATAATCGTTCTTGTACATGAATTGCTAGTATATTCTGTGTACAATACATNTCTGACCAATAAGACAAGGAGACCACGCCCTAAAAAGGGGCGTGTCCGCAGTCGCTGATTGGTCGTTTGCATTCAACACTCATAAACTGTTTCGTAATTTAGTTTGGGTGAAGTAAAAGGTAAAAGGGATAGATCAAGGTTCCAAGAAAAATTTATCGATTCGATGTCTCTGAGCTCAGTCCTATTCAGAGATCAATCCTGGGGAATCGGGCTGTACCCAGAACAGGCAATGTGAAGCAGTATGGCCAGGTGCATACTGTCGTTCAGGAGAGTGTCGTTGTGCGAATAATCAACCACCATTCAGGACCAGAGATGGTTTGGTAAGGGCCTCTACCAGAAGGAATAACAGCAGGTTCTGAACCTATGAATTCAGGTCTGCCTAAATTATGGTTTCTGCCCACTGAACGGTAACAATCCGAAATTTCGTATTGAAAATCAGGTCCAGCAGTGTTATGGAGGTAAGGCTTAGAGGTTGCCTCTCAGTATTGCGACTCGAATGCGGGTCCGTGAATGTTTGCAGGAGCCGATGCGACGTGTGAGGCTATTGGAGCTCTTGCCTATGATTGTGTTTGTGACTCGGATGACTGTACAGTGAACAATCCGATTAGTTTCTGTTGTCCAAGCAGAGGTTTGTCGTTTAACTATGCGATATAGAGAAGTCTTGTGGTTTCTTAAAAAAAAATCCGAAACTCTCGCACCTTAAGGTCTCCGTAAACAGGTTACGGTAGGTACGAGTAAGGGTGAAGTCAATTTCCGTCAGTGGAAGGGTTTACTCGCAGCATAAATGCGGTGTGTAGGAGTTACTTCATTACTTTTGTTGTCATTAAATCACCATTATGATAAGGTAAACAAGTAAACACTGCCGAACTATAGATAAAACTGGGTACTGGTGTAGTTCTTGATACAAATGAAATTTGGAGGGATAGGGCGCCATTGCGCTCGCTGATGGTTAGATGAGATATGGAACGAGAGGTACTTACCGGATAGGGGAGCTTGGCAGCTCAAGGTTGGGTCATTTTTTGAATCAGTTCCTTCCCTATTTCACCCTCACCTTGCTTGACGATGGAGCATTGCTTCTACGTTTTGAATTTTTTTCAAAGTTTCCTGAATTTTTTTGCTCTCCATCGAAGGGGTAGACAAGGAAGACAGGCCCTTTTCTTACATGACAAAGTGAGGGCTTCCTAGAAAAATCAAAGGATAGATAGACACCATTAAGGAAATGAAAAAATTCTCTTGTTCTCCTCAATCTTGGTATTCGAGAAGAACTTGAACAGGTGTAGGCGAAGGTCCCAACGAAGTCATACGAGTCTTATATCATCTATGCTATTCACTCAAAAATAGGGTTTTTTGCGATTTTACGAGAATTTATCAAATTATTCAACAATAGTACCTTGTTAATCTGTCTCTGCTATGTTTATTGTCTCTTGTTTCCGGAAACACTTCTCAATTCTTTTCATCTAGAGAGTTCTTTCAGCTTTCGCTTGTATCCAGCCGCCAAACGAGGGCTACACCCCACCAGGTGGTGGTACCACCCTCAATCATTGGTATCACGATCCGATTACCGGAGAATGCCGAGAACTGAAATACCAAGGATACGGTAGGTATACGAATCGGTGACCTTCTGTGACCGTAAACTTAATGAATGACGTCATTTGTAGGAGGAAATGCCAACAACTTCCAAACAAAAGATCATTGCGAATCGTATTGTAAACAGAGTAAGTTCGGCTTATCCCTGATAAGGCAGTAGCCCTGCCTTTTGTTCAAAAGAGACTTCTGCGCTTGTGTATTGTTTTTTTTAAATATTTATCTGGTAATGTAAACAAGGCCAGTACCATTACAGCTTGCAACCGAGGTTTACCACTGTACCGCGACAGAACGACCGGTGTCAAGCAGGAACCGGTATACTGCCAAGGCAACGATAATGGTTGCAATAACCCGAATTATCAATGTACCACTATGGGTACACTCCAACAATGTTGCCCAACCTACCGTAAGAATGATTTTCTGTAAAGGACCCCATTCTGGAATATCCATCATTTTGATTGGATCCTCTTTGCAGTTTTCATTTGCTCGCGTAATGGTGGTATACCTACGGAGGTGTACAACACGGCTGGTGGTCTTCCAACAGAATATTTCGATGTGGGAATACCTGATGGTACAGGAACAACATCGCCCAGATTCTATTATGATTCCAGAGAAGGCAGATGTATTCAATTCTCGGTATGTTTATACTTGTACTGGGCGGATGCAAGAAGACTGCTGTTGCGTGCGGTCGCGATGCGGTTGCGAAACTTCTGTGGTGTTTTTGTAGATTTAAAGAATGGATATTCCCATGAGGAAGTGTTCTAAGTTGCACCATGTGAAAGGAAATACACGAAAAATCAGAAAATTGGTGATCTAGACGCTTCGCAACCGCCCGCGTCACTGGTCCTCTGTTTACAAGTTGCTTTCGCTGGAGTAGGTCCTTGTAACTATGAAAAATGATTTTTCATCGTCACGGTAAAAATTGAAGTATAATTGAAAAATCATCGAGAAAAAATTAGGAGTTTACGAGTAGAACAGATTCATGAGCTCATTCGCCGTTCGGTCGTGGGGAATCTCCCATTTGACTGTCTGATTGGGGTAAATTCTATTCGGGAAGCAGTCAAGACAGTTCTATAGCTTACTTTTCAATGGAAATCAGACGTAAGACCTATATCCATCCTTTTTTTTCAGTATCTTGGCCAAGGAGGTAACTTCAACAACTTCTTATCACAGGATCACTGTGAGAAGTTCTGTTCAAGGAGTGAGTGATGTAGCTTTCCAGCGGTTTTGGAATTTTTATTTTATTCCCAAAAAAGGGCAGATCAGCAGAAAAATTGAGTCCTTTTCTGATGTTCCTGCTCGATTTCAGTTCTCTGCTCGGCCGGTGAGCCATTGAAAGACTCATCTGGTGAGCGAAACATGGAATGTTCTCCAACCGGTAGTGGTGCGAACTCATGCCCATCGACACACTCATGTGAGAGTACGTCAGGTCAGTCAGGCTCTAAGCAGATCGTCATCGATTTCTCGTTAGCAATCAACAAATCGAACGAAGTTTAGGATCGACTACTTTTGGTGGTGTTTGCTGTCCACGTCCGCAGTACGTGTGCAAACTTCCGCGTGAGCAGGTTCGTCATCAGCGCCTCCGTTAGGTGGTCGGCACCTTGGTCGCCGTGAAACTTTCCTGAACAGAAATCAGTGGTCACCCTGAATTTTGTAGGGTAATTGTGGTACCTACTCGAATCGTTGGTGGTTCAACGCGAAAACTGGTAACTGTGAAGAATTCATCTATTCGGGATGTCAAGGAAATGCAAATAACTTTGAAACCTACAAGGAATGCCAGGATTACTGTCGCGATGCCAGAAGTACGCTCATTTGAGGAAAAATTTTCAGATGTTTCTTGAAAAATTGAAAAAATTTCCAATTCCTGTTCAGGTGAACCTCAATGTATACAGGGAACGGCATTGACTGATTCCAACGGTAACTTTATTATCTGTGGTGGTACTACGGCTGCATCGACTACATGCCCAGCTAACCACTACTGCTACTACGATGGAACCACCTATGGATGCTGTCCCACACAAGGTTTCTTTCCATTGCATTCATACCCTTTTTTATTTCGAGATTTCCATTCTATGCAATGAAAGGAAGGGTCGGACTCAAGGAAAAGTGAATAGAGCATCGAAATTTCTTCATTCATTTTCTACGTTACCCTAGACTCAAGCTTAAGAGTTTCTGAGATGTTCACCCAACCAGAGAAGTGGGAGTTGAAGAGGAGGATCGTGCTGGGCAAATATGGAAGTGTCCAAGGCGGTGGTCTTCAATTATCGGGTGTATGAAGGAAGCACTTTGGACTCTGTGGCACTGCTTCTTTGCTTTCTTTCAGTTGATGCGAAGGGTGACACATCAAAATTTCATGCTTCAGGCATGCGCCATGCATTTCGTTCCATTCAGGGAGCATTAAAAACGATTGACTTAATTTAAAATTAGCGCCCTAAGTTTCGGCATGGGGAACAGCATTTCATTCTCCCAAAAGGCGTAGTGCAGTGCGATCCCACGGGCCTCATACCAGCTTCAAAGAGGATGGATTACGAAGAGCGCAAGGGTAAGGAGAAGGGAAGTTTCTTGTGTACTCAAAGTGGAAGCCGGGATGGGGGAATACTGTGCAGAAAGAGCTCAGAAATGGTATTGTTCCGATTTTTGATTTTATTCAATCTGATGTAGTAGTGGGCTAATTGTAAAATTTAATCGGTAGGCTTCATGGCCTCTCCAACCTGGGAACTTTAGATCGGGGCAGGCTCGGGCATGATCTTCTATCACTGTTCATTTCAAAATACGGCATGGAAAGGAAATAAATGAAGGTTCTGAGAATGTGAATCTCCTGAGGAACTGCGGCTTTCGAAAAAAAGTAGCTGACCTTTTTGAGCTGGAATTTCAGGTTGCTTTTTTTAGAAATCGCAAAAGGGCAAGATCGGCTGAATAGAGCCGGTCTTACTCTGAATTCTGGGTTTTTTTTCGATGTTTGCTTTTTTCAGCGTATACCTGCTCCCTGTCTTACAAATCTGGTGCATCCTGTGGTCCAGCCGTTACCCGATGGTACTACGATTCCACGACTCGAACCTGCCAAACATACTCGTTCAATGGGTGCGATGGTAATTCGAATAACTTCGCCACCCAGCAAGACTGTAAAGATTACTGTCGCGTGGAATCGTGCCCGGACGGAGGAGAGGTTGGTCCTCTGAAACTATTCGCATGGNTTTCAAACAAGTCACATGGGTTATGGAAGGTTTCCTGAGCCATTTCTGAGCAGCTCTCGGGTTTTGTTTGATTTCTCGTGAACCAACCGAATTCCTCCCATATTTCAATGACCTTTGGGCATATACTGATCATTTGCACTCGAAATGCGTTCGGTGGAAGGACATTGACGAGCGCAGGTCATGTTTGTCTACGTAGCGAAGCTTCGCCGCTCTGACCCGCAGCTAATCTGCGCTCTATTGACTAATGAGGAGAAGGGAGTGAGAGCGGATGTTTGTTCGTTTTTGTCGGTACCTTTCTGTACCGGCCCGATCCCATCTCGTCAGTTCAGCTCACTTCATCGGCTGTCTTGACGTTAATGTTGAAGAAAAACCAGCTTGAAGTCGTTCTTTTAGCTAAATCCATAGGACTGAAAATGATTTTTACTCAGGTGTGGAAGGAGCAGAATGGAGCGGCACGGGCATGTACGACGAACAGACAATGTCCATCCACTCACTACTGTACCCCGGTGACGACATGGACAGGTATGTCACGAAAACACTTGACACCGGGATTAGACACACTAGCCACCCATCTTCGCAACTTTCTTTTGGGTCGATTTCGAAAGGAGGGGGGAATGGGAGGGGACCGGCGGCATGGAAATCAGATAATCGTTTCAACAGTACTCCATGGGTCTAATGATGCCAAGTGTTCTTAGATCTCTTTACCTAACTAAATAGAGGATGAAAGGATAAAGTCTTCGGGCGTTGATCAATCCCATCTGAGGGATGCGCCCCCACACTCGACTTCAACTCAGAGTTGTAGTGACGTATTGAATGCCTGTGTGCCCCACACAATGACTTGCGGTGGCCAAGTCAGTGCTTTTATCCCCCCAGACGAGTCTGGTACCAATTAACCGACCCCGGAGGGATGGAAGGCTTGGCTGGCCTAGGCGGATATCGATCCGGG